TTCAACTGTCACAGAAGCTGCTCTGCCAATCCCAGATACTGCAGATTCAAATTCACCTCAACAAGAGACAGCAGAACCAGAAAAAACTCAGGCTAGGGCCAGGTAAATCAACTCTATCTATTAAGAAGGACATCAGGTACTAGTGAGGTGATATCAAAATTAGCCACATTTCAGTTTTGTGAACATCTTTAACACTCTGACAGCCAGGGGTTTGAAAAAATAGTATCAGCCACCACTAGATTTTTAGCAAATTTTAACACTTTTCCGAAGCTCGTTGAGGTGTGGTGACCAGATTGACATGTAGTGAATACTACAAGAACTACAAACATCTTAGCTTTACAATGGTACCAAACACTTTGCTCTAATCACAATTTGTGATCCGTAACAGTAAAATGAAAATGACTCACTTTTGGAGATTTACACAATTTTGCAAAACAAAATTGAGAAAATCGCGATTTTGTAAAAGTAAAGCAATACCGCTCAACGCTAATGTAAACAAACAAATAGTGAAATATCTACGGTCCAGACTGAATATAGTGTTCAAATTGTTAGTACATGTCGGTAATTACCCCATCTAATGGATTCCGTAAAAAAAACCTGAAACACAGAGATCTCTGTGTTTGGCGGTCAAGCTCTGCGTTTGACGGGCAGAGTGTTATTGGAGAATAATATAACAGTATATGTACTAATAAAATTACTCAAATCAAGCAAAAAACATGTAATTTCAGCACATACTGAAAACACTATAAGGATATGACTATTTTTATTTTTGTTTAATGTAATTGCTGCGAAGCAGCCAATTCATATTCTTGACAGCAATTTGATCTCTGAAAGGTCATAAAAACTATCGCCTAAGACAACTGAAAAGCGGAGTTTCCTTCTTTCGTTCTGCCGGGTAAAATCAATTACTTTAGGCGACGTTTGTAGACTAACCTACTCGTACCAACGTCGGCATGTCGCGACGCTGGGTACTATTCAGCGTTTTTATTATATTTCTAGGTTTCCTATTTCTGCGTTTAATCGGCTCATGTCTCAGCCACAATATTTTGAGGCCAATATTATTTACGAACCCAGTTAAACTTATTTACTAGCCTATTTCAACGTGCTAATTATTACATTTAGGCGACGCTTGTTGTAGACTGGCATAGTGTTTTCGGAAATAAATACCATTTTATACACATGAGCAGATCGATTCGCCAGCAGCGAGTCATCGGCCAGCGAGTAGCCAGCAGAGAGATGTCACTGCAGCAAAACACTATTGTACACGGCACCAACGCTGTTCTAATATAGACAATGGGTCGTGCTCATATTATTTGTTATATTTTTATTATTCATTATATTCACTTGACTCGCATAAATAATTTTGTTCGAAGAACATTTTATGCAGTTGTACTTTGCAGCACTTCACTTGCAATTTGCAATTTCTAGTTATTATTATTGTTGTATAGTTGTTTGAATTGTTATTTTGATTTCAGTGTTCCTATCCCTGTCTCTGAGGCAACCGATGCTCCTGCAGACATCGAGGGTGCAAGCGCTAGTGCATTGTCACAAGCTGAATCAGCATTAGTTATTGGTGCTGAGTATGAACAAATGGTCTCTCAACTGATGGCCATGGGCTTCGGAAGGGACAAGGTTACGCTGGCCCTGCGCGCCAGCTTTAACAACCCAGACAGAGCTACTGAATATTTGTTAAGCGTTAGTATCATTTTGCTGTTTTATTTGACGTAATGAAGAAGACAAAAAATTTAAAAAACAGATCAAAGGTCAGGGCAACTTAAGCTTTATAAATCATGTGTAAGTCAGCTACCTTGTAGAAGCGGTTGGCGTATCGATTGTGGCTTGGACTCCTAACCTTGAGGTCAGGGGTTCAAAACTCTCGCTGTGCAAGTTGTTTGTGTCCTTGGGTAAGGTACTTTATCTACGTTTGTCTCTTTACCCAGGAGTATAAATGGGTACCTGGTAGGATGTTGTGGCATTGAATGTTGTAGTTTCGTGCGCTAAAGAAGTAGCGAACGACTAGGGATCCTCCTCGGGGAGCAGAGAAGGTTGCACTTTGTGCTGGTTTGCCATTGTACGTTATCCAGTGACCAAGGGTAATAATGCTCACGCCTTTGATCATTCAATTCAGAATTGGCGCCTTCATTCATTAATTTTTTTAATTTTTTTTAGGGAATTCCAGAAAGTGTTACCAGAGAAATGAATGCAGCAGCAGAGGCCCAACAAGCTGCCGTACAAGGTGCCCAGCCCGCGGCGGACCAACCACCTGCAGCGGCACCACAACCTGCCCCAGCATCTACTGGTGGTCAGCCCGCAGCTGTGCCACCAGCTCAAATACCTGGCCAAGAGGCTAGTAGTGCAGGTTAGTGTATGATTAAATGTTAAGTTTAGAAATATATTTTTGTTAGCCTATTAGACTTTTTTCCTGGTCTATGAACTGTTGTTATTGTTACATGTGATTTTTATTAATTTTTATTCATGTTTATATGTAGAATTTATGGCATTTGTACACATCATTCAATTTTTATAACAATTTGCTCAAGTACTGTTTCATCATAAAGGACCGTTCACATCAAATTTGTACGATTTCCAATCTGGACTCCGGATCCGTACCGATGGATATGAGAGCCATTTGTATCGTGTACTCCTACTTTTTTTCTCTTCTCAACCAATCAGCAACAAGCTTGGTTGGTTCGAACCAATCGAACGCATATGTACTTAACCCGAACAACCGTGTTCCGTGCGCAATGTGAACACAGCGTTTAAAAAGCGTAGCAACTCACAATTTTTTGTCCGGGCTCCAGACCAGATCCGGTCTTGATGTGAACGTAGCTTAATAATGAAGTTCAGTAATACAGTTGAACTTGCCTAAGTCGAATCCAAAATGCCACTGAAATATTGTTCGACTTAGATAAAATTCGACATATAGATCGTTAATGCATGGAAAACACAACAATTTGGCATGTAAAATAAGATTATTATAGACTTAGAAATTATTCAACTTAAGCAAGTTTAACTGTATTCTGTTTGATCAGACAGAAATCTGATAAGCAGAGAAAGCCACTTAATCAGTGGCGTGTCTAGAAGTCTTGAAATGGGGGCTGAATGGTGGGGCATGAATATGAATTGGGAGGCTCGATGATTAGGAAAGGGGGCCTTAGCTAACCAGTTAAGGTGATTTCAGGTGGTTTTTAACTATGTGAGCTTGATATTTTTTTTTGCTTTGAAAATTTGCAATGGGGGGAGGAGGTGCAAGTATTTTTGAGAAAGCATGCTATGTGGTGCAGGCTACATACACCCCTGCACTTAATCACAAAGCTGCTTGTTTTTACTCTCTGAAATGTCTATACTCTACTGATTGTTTCAGAGGATCCACTAGGATTTTTACGTCTTCAACCAGAGTTTCAACAAATGAGACATATGTTACGGCAAAACCCACACCTCCTGCCCGCTCTTCTACAACAGCTAGGTCAATCAAATCCACCGCTATTACAGGTACAGTATTTCTATTATTATTAATGTTGTTATTGATGGATATCACTAATATTTAAAAATGTCTTTTTGAAGGATTGCATACTGCATTATTTATTTTGACTAGATTTTACAAAAATTGCGATAAAAGAGTAAAGTTTGCTTGAGTTCTGTCAGGACTATAAAATTTGATTTGACAAAAACATGTGACATGCCTACGTATGGTCATAATGACATCACATCATGACCATATATAGGCACATCATGACTATATATGGGCGTAAAACAGTTTTTTTGTCAAAGGAAATTTGATAGTTTGGGCAGACACCCGGCTAGTCTCATAAGGAACATAGTTATTAAAAAAAGGATAGACACAATTGGCAGCCAGATTTACATGACCTCTACTGGCATTAGCGTATAATCAAGAGTCCGCGATCCACCCACTGCAAGTGCCACTCACTGTGATTTTATGCTGGCTCTAGGATCACAAAGCATCTGAATTTCAGAGCCTAAAATGTAGAGAGAATGCTAGTATGAATATTAGAAAACTATTTTAAACAATCATCAACTTTTCCCTTCCATTATTTTTCTTCTCAAACTTTCATTGTGTCATTGTTTTAAAACCAGAAGATTTCTTCCTCTTTCTATACTTTTACCCTGAGCACACTTCATTCTTTACCCTGGTAAAGTGCAGTGCCTTGTCCTTGAATAAATTGAGAGGTCTGATAACAATGTTCAATTGTTTTTCCAACAGCTTATCAATCGACATCAGCAGAGCTTCATAGAACTTCTGAATGAACCTGAAGGAAGTGGCGGAGGTAGCGGTGGTAGCGGTGGTAGTGGTGGGGGAGTAACTGGGGGTGGAAGTGGGGGAGGAACTGGGGGTGGGCCCGTCAGACAGCCTACACAAGTCTCAATTCAAATCACACCGGAAGAAAGGGAAGCCATAGATAGGGTAAGTGTACCTATTCTAAGAAAAGTAGCCTATACAGTACTACAGTGTTACGTCACGATACCACATGATGCTACCCTGTTGCTATCGTTGCAAAAAACGTTCAACTGGGCGTCATTTCCTCCACTGACAAACCATTGATCCAAATTTCTAACGTAATTATTAAGATGTTCTATCTTACTTTTTCTTTTTAAATTTTAATTGATGTTTAAATGTGTGTTGGATAACTAATAAAATGTGAGCTTTTGTGTTTTTAGTACATTTTGATGGTAAAATATTAGATTTTAAATTGCCTATTCAAGAAAGCCTATGCAGTTATTCAGGCGTAATGAACGGTAACCTACGTCTGTTGACAACAGAGAGCGCCACCTGGTGTCTTGACGACATGACCTGTACGCAAAACCGTGCCTTTTTGCAGAGAATACAAAATGCACAGAAACTCTGTTTTTATCCTGTTATAATAGAACTGGCTGGCTTAATTCCAAAGCATTCAAGTCCTAAATAAATTGTTACTGAATAGCTCTTTGGTGTGAAATGATGCAAAGCAAGTACAGCATTGTTAATGGGCATGGGCAACATTATTGCATACACATATCTATTTGGCTCCTCCATTTATTGTGTAGGGTCCCATTGTATACACATTATCTGTCTGCCTCTTCCATTTATTGTGTAGGGGTCTCATTACATACACATATGTGTTTGCCTCCTCCATTTATTGCGTAGGGGTTCTATTACATACACATATCTGTCTGGCTCAATTTATTGTGTCAGGGTCCCATTGCTTACACATATTTGCATGTCAGCCTCTTCCATTTATTGTGTAGGGGTCCCAGTGTATAAACATATCTGTCTGCCTCCTCCATTTGTTGTGTAGGGGTTCTACTACATACACATATCTGTCTGGCACCATTGTTTGGATAAAAACAAAAAAAACCTAAGAAGTTAATTGGTGCCAGAAACATGAATGAAATTTATCCAAAAAAAATGATATTCAAAATCCGTGAATCATTTGTTTTCTTTCTTTTTTTAACAGCTGAAACAGTTAGGTTTCTCAGAAAATGATGTCATCCAGGCATACTTCGCTTGCGAGAAGAACGAAAATTTAGCAGCAAATTTCTTGCTTCAAACAGATTCAGACGACTCTTAAAAATATGTATTGGAAAACCTTATTTACAACCATCTCCTAATGCTTTGATAAGCATCAAACACTCATTAGCCCTGGGCAACACGTTAACGACCTTGAAGCACGCAGTTAACACGGACATGCAGCGTGCCGATTCGAAGAACATTTCTAGGCTGCTCTTGAATAATTTTAAAAAGTTGAAAAATTACAAAAAACCACTAACTTTGATGTGAATAACTAAGGGTGTTTTTCGCAGTCAGGTATAAAAATAAAATGCTGTTTGTGCATGCTAATGAAACTCATAGTGTAATGCATCATGGGAAGGTGTATAGAAATTGCTTATATCACTGCTCATAGCATATGCATTGCATTGTATTATTTAGCTGCCAGTTATGGCAGAAAGAGTTTGACATGCAACTGGTTTTTGTAATGTTGTCGAAAATAATATCGGATATAGGCCATCCTAATCATAATAATAGTGGTTATTAGCTATGTTTTTTGGCTTTGGATGTTTTGTTTGGATTTTTGTTCCTCCTGACATGCAAACCCAAGCCTACTTTTTTACTGCTACATTTTGTCTCCCCTTCATGGGGGAACTCAACATGCATATGTTTGGAAATGCTAGAAAGAAGAGAAATTCTATACTTTGTATTAATGTGTAAATGATTGCACTTGTAACCATTGTTGAACCTTATAATAATAGCCCTGCATGTTTAACTTTCAAAATGTTTGTTAATAAACAAAGCCATTTGTATTCATTTTGAAAAAGAAACATAATTATCAAGCAAGTGAAACCAGAAACAATGTGGGTCTATTTTAATGTTCACTTTGCATTGCTTTCTTCACAATTTTAATTCTGATTCATTATTTGTTTATTCGAAGATAAATAAGACAATTAATGCAAGGACTTTTAACTGTTACCAGGATAGGAAGCTGGCTGGTTTAAGCTGTCTAACTTGAATTAGCCTTATGTGCAGTATTGTTATGCAAATGAGCCAGATAAACACAATCTGCACATGCTCAGAAAAACAAAACTTTCCTTAGCCACATCATGGCCACACTGCGTATCGGCTAGGCGTACAGCTAGGCCTAGCCGAGAATTACGGTACGGTAAAACAAAGCAAAATAGGGGTACTAATTTCACTTGGCATGCAAATCAATCATACTTACACACTTAAAAACAAACTAGTCTACCAATAAAATCACCTGCAAGTTAAGATATAAGGCAAGTATGTCTACAAATTTGATTTTAAATTGATGTGATTAGGCTAGCCTAGACC